CGGTGTGTGTTCTTTCCCCCACTGTGCAGGTTTTACTTCGCTTTCTAAACTATTTACAGGCCCAGCTAATGAAGAATAGGCAGAAGTACGAGCTTCCTCTTCTTAAGGTCTATTACATATCTGCAGTGATGATGGCGATGGAGTTTGGAGCGAGTCAATCATTTTCTCAAGGGATTGACTCCGAGGCTGCACAGTGTGAAATGAGCTGTTTTCACCGGACCCACTGCTTTGGAAAATGTATATAAAGTAAATGTCACGGGCAATGGGAGGTGCTGACAGGTAGAGAGAAGGGACTAAACAAACTTCTGTGCTCCTAAGTGAAAGATAGTGGAGGAGGTGCAGCGTGAGAGCATGTCAGCAGTGTCTGCGACCAGTGTATATAGAGGCGAACGTGTGAGTTGGGTAAAAAAGCAAAGCTGAGCAAACATCAGCAAGAACGTTGCATATGGATAATAGTGAGTTTAATATGTTAGTGTTATATTCCACGTAGCTGGTGTTGCTGTGCCAACATTTCAAACAAAAACACCTGCAGAAGTCGGGCATGTAAAAATGTAAAAAAACACTGATTCTGTGGATGAGCTTAGGACAGTGCAACTATCAGACCCATGAAAGCTAAATAAAGGTTCTCTACTGACAGTTTACGCAGCTACACAACTCAACCATACCTCAAGAGAAAGGCAGCTTGTTGGATGCAGATCTCAAAGACTTGATTAGCTCTATTGTTCAAAGAGGGTCATCATTTGAACAACAGAGCTAATCAAGCCTATTGTTAAGTGATGGCCCTCTTTTGCATGTGACTAACCTGTTTGTCCACCATGTGGAGGCAGTGCTTATAAGGCTGAGTTCACTTGAAACTCATCAGACTGAAGAAGTCTCTTGGAGGAGAGATGAAACGTTTCACTAAAGAAGAACCCATCCAGAGGACCTACTTGTTTATTTCTTTTAGATTTTTTCTACCTGGATTACTGAGATGCATCAGGGCAGTCAATCAAAGAATTTGCATTTCCCATGAAAATGAAAAGTGAATGCTTGTGCTAAAATATTCGGAAAAATAATAAGACTTTAGCTGAAAAAAGCTCAAATTAGCTAAAAAATAGCTAAAAACACAGAAAATGAAAAAAATGAAATTATTTAAAAAAGCTGAAAGAAGCACAAAAGTTGATATTAGCAAAAGAATAACAAAAAGGTCAAAATGATATAGCTTAAAAAAACAGGCAAAAGCTAAAATCAGAAAAATGGAAGCCGAAGGAAGGTGAGATTAGCACAAAGAATTTCAAAAAAGCAGAACCAGAACAAAAGGCCAAAAGTACAGTAAAGATTTATGAACATCTTTGAGGGTTTTATAAGGATGTTGAAGACAGCTTCATTCATTTTCAAGAAAAAAGGGCAGAACAAGCTAAATATATCAAAAAGTGTTGCTGAAATATCAAAAGTCGTAGCTAGAATGTTCTAAAGAAGCTGAACATTTCGATACATAAATTGTTGAAAATTTGCAGAGTGAGATAAATACTGAAAAAAAGTACGGACGAAAAAATGATCTCTACTGCCCAAATGACCGCTGGGGATGGCACCTGCTCCAGGGACCCCTGAACATAATATAAATAATAAATGGGTTAAAAGTATGGACAGATGCAGAGTTGTTATGGTTTAGTAAAGTCTTCAAGTTTTTGGAATGTCAGTGGCTTTTCATGGGTTCTGTGACTCCAGTGCAAACCACACTTWCAGAATGACTCATTATTGCTCTTTCTGAAAAGCTAATGTTCTGTTTTTTTGACCCCCTCCATTAAAAATCGGAGAATTTGACAACTTACCAATTATTTTCCCGTAATAAATTAAATGGATTATTTATTCATTTTCCCCTTGAACATTCTAGTTATATAGCTTATTGGTCGAAAAGTCATTTCAAAACAGGTAACCGATACTTTTATAGTCTTTGAGCTTTATTGATTTGCCAGAGACAATTTATGGCTCTGCTTTTCTTTATTTCTTTTCTTTTATAATAGTGATAACAGTTAAGGGAATTCAACTTTCCATTTCTTTGAAGATATGATTTTTTTATTGATTTCTGAGACTGAGCTGCCTAACAGCTTTCCTCTTCTTTTGTTCTCTAAGTGAGTTGAATGAGTTCCTTCTTCAACGAAACAGCAATTGTACGTATATTTGTGCAATCAGTGAAAAATATCATTTTTTCTCTAACAAGGGTCAGTCAGATTATTCAGTTAACCCGCTTATAAGATGTTGTTTAGTCTTTAGTAAATAGGGAGGAAACTCAGTGCATCTGTGATAGTATTTGACTGTGCTTTGGCTCATCGTGGAGCAGAAATATTGCACAATAGTCGACCCTGGATAGTAGCTTCTTCTCTAGAGATGTGAACAAGAGTGTGTTTCTTCTTCACACTTTGCCCTCAAGCTGTTTCAGTTGGAAGTATGCCTCTGTGTGAAAAGAGAGAGCAAACAGAGAGAGAAAAAGCCTCACAGATGGTGGAACTGAGTTTAACACAATGTCATTCCTGTCTCCCTCCAGTTTTGCTCAGATTGTTTTTTTGTCCCAGACGAGCAGACGTCATGCAGACAGTTGAGGCCTGTCACTCTAAGGGTTTTTGTTTTGACATGCTTTTAGGCTTTTGGAAGATCAGATGCCGATACGTGTTGCTATGCATGCTTTCCTTAAGAATGTGCACGTCATGTGAACAGTGTTCGTAAATCATCATTTGACAGTTGGAAATCTGCCTAAATCCACTCATAACACCATGCAAATGCATTGAAAGTTAGCTTTTATGGTGCAGATTTGCAGCGAAGGTAATTGTCTTAATAATTCTGTTCTCGGAGAATTTCAAATGGTCTCAATGTGGTACACTGTGCAGCACCAGCATTCAGTCGCTGACTCCTTGCTTGCAGTGGAAATGTTGTGGAACGATTGTAAGTCACATGTAACTCAGTGGGTCAGTTTAATGTGCTTGTTTTGGATTTTTCTGCATGTTTCATGACATGACTGCCGTTAAGAGGTGCATTTAACAAAGCATGAAAGAATTTGATGGAAAATGACCCTTGTTTAGAGACTCAGCTCTCATTCATTCCCGTTTTTTGTGTTTTATTTTCTTGTTGTGGGAGCAGATTTCGTCAAGACACAACTAGCCAACTTGAATTTTCTATTTGAAATGCATTACTGTTAGATGAGTTAAAACAATGTCAGCTAATGTTTATGCAAATCACGATGACTCCTTTTCAATTTGACAGCTTCAGTTGTCAATCAAGCCACGCACCGTGAAGTAAATATCATGCATCTGAGCATCTGTTAACGATTAGGTCAACTGATATGACACAGAGGGCTCAGGGGGAAATGTTTCCGTCAGTACAGTCTGTTATTGGACTTAATAAAACAAATCTCCTGCTGAAGAACTCCTCTGACCTTATGTTAGAGGCTGTGGTGAATATGAGAAACGACAGATTTGTCTCTGAAAAGAAGCATGAAGGATATTCGGATCACCAATCAGACTCCTATGCATCAACTCTGTAACATGTTACAAAACTCTATTTCCCTGTCTTATAGATGAATTTACATTAATTAATTTATTTTTTACTTGGAGATATTTTAAATGGTGCTAGCCTTTTTTAATAATTACGTTCTGAAAGATTACCATCAGGAATGAACTAGCCTCAGATGAACACAGGCCTGGACACTTGTGCTTTTGCGACATCTTTAAACCCATTTATTCTTCAGTTTCACTTTAGAGTGTAAAAGAGACCAGAAATTACACATAATGAACAACTACTGTGCCAATCCTGCCACTCGGCGTGACCAAAACGGTCACAGGCTGACAGCTGCGTCCCGCGTGTGTGTGCGTGTTTATGAACGCAACGCTCTGCTTTCCCCATCACAAGCCCACATTGCTGGTTGTTGGGTTTGCCAGCTATGTGGCAATTCTCACTTTGAGTGTTTTATATACACCTCCCTTAAATAAACTGACGAAAGAAGTGCGAGTTTACCACATGTTCTCCATGTGAGTTGAAACTTCAACGCGTCGTGTCGGTCTTGGTAACCTGAACGCTGTTGTTTTTCTATATTTAGAATAAACAGCTCTGCCGTGTGCTCGTGTTTAAATCCACACAGCATCGCTGTGAATGACAAGCCTTCAGGAATTAATAAAAAAATATTAAACCAAGCATCTGCAAGCTACTGTTTTGCATGCATGTCTCTCACATTTACATTAGGGATGTCCCGATCAAGATACTCAGTATTGGTATCGGTGGCAGATATGGCCATTTTTTTGAAAATCGGGTAGGATCGGATTTAGTCACGTGATCGAGCCGATCCAGTTTTCGCAACAGTTTTCAGCATCATCGTGCTTCACAACTGCCGTTAGGAAGTCAAGACGCACACAAGTGTGCAACCATGTCCACAGTGTGGGAACACTTTTCAGTGGAAAACAATGACGCTGAAACTGCAGCTTGCAAAATCTGCAAACTGTTTCTTGTGGTGGGAACAACAGGGCTCGCTTCAATACTACCACCCTTGTCACTTGGAAAGAAATAAAGCTATCGGATCTGTATCGGATCGGTATCGGAAAGACTAGTCATTAAAAAGATCGGATTGTATCGGGAGCTAAAAATCTGGATCGGGACATCCCTAGTTTACATGAAGCTAAAGATACAAATAGCCCCATGCAATCACAGTGGTTTGTTACTTAACATAAATGATGAAACTGCAGGTTGAATATTGATGTTTTTGAGTTGCGTCTTTCATTTGATACCTTGAAGAAAAAAAGTTTCCATTTCCCCATTCAGGTTATTTGTAATCTCCAGCAAATGTAGAATTCCTGCAAACATTAACCAACTAAACTCATTTGAACATTAACCAGCAGTGTTTTGAGCATTATGAATCCCATCTGTTCTATTTGTATCATAAGTCTTTACAGCTTAGCCTTTCCCCTTTTTTTTGTACAGAGCCATTCTCTTTGCGCCTGTTTGCTTTAACTGGCCTGTGTTTTCTCTCCCTCTAGGTTGACAGGTAATGAACCATTATCTCTCCTGCCACTGAATTCCCTACCAGAAGACTCCGTGGGCAGGGCCCACTTGAAACTTTGCGACCAGCTCAAACTGGACAAGAAGCAACGCAGGATGTGCAGAAGAGACCCGGGCATGGTGAATATTCTGAAGGAGTCCGTAATCCTGAGCGCCCTAGAATGCCAGCATCAGTTCCGCTTTGAGAGGTGGAACTGCACCTTGGAGGGGCGCCACCGAAGCAACATATTAAAAAGAGGTATGGATCGAGAGACACAAGGGATGTATAGATCAACCGTTAAAGCCTAATTTTTAAATTATTACACAGAGACAAAAAAGTGCAGCCCCTATTCTTCAACCATTTTTTTAAACACCATTATGCTTTCCCAGGATTTAAAGAGACAGGCTTCCTGTACGCCATCTCCTCAGCGGGGTTGATACATGCGTTGGCCAAAGCTTGCAGCGCAAGCCGCATGGAGCGCTGCACGTGTGACGAGGCCCCGTACCTGGGGAACCGCGAGGCCTGGCAGTGGGGCGGCTGTGGAGACAACTTCAAATTTGCCAACAAGTTTGTCAAGGAGTTTCTTGGCAAACGCTCTAACAAGGACCTGCGCGCACTTGTGGACATGCATAACTCAAATGTGGGCATGAAAGTAAGTGTTCCTGCTCCTCTAGTTTCCTGCGAGAAACGTCTGATAAAAAAAAGAAAACAAAAACAAGCTGTACATCATGTGAGGTCTTCCTAGAGCTGTGAGGGAGAAAAAAAAAACAGAATTGGAATATGTTGGCCTCTGCACAATCAGCGTTTGCTCTAATCTGTGGCAGACAGTTATTCATGAGCATTTCTGTGATGCTTGAAACATTTTAGGGAGTTGCTGAAAGAAGGCAGTGTTAATCACACGATAACTTCACTGCAGTATATTAGAAATAAATGGGTTGTCTTGTATTAAATGGGACATTGTGCAAAATCCACTTTTTATTAGTTAAATGCATTTTGTTGTCTACTTGGAGTTTCTAGTAGTGCAGAAACATTGAATTTGGTCTCTCCTTGTGCTGCGTAGTTATTTTTATATTCTGTTTGAGTCATGTTTTTCAACTCGTTCAGTTTTCTCTATTTTCTATGAGGTTTTTGAAAATATTACATCACATTATTTGTGATGGTGAGGTTAGGGTTAGCTTAGTTGACATACCAACTACAGTTTGGTCATCTTCATTTTCCTCTGGCTCTGGGTCAGACTCTGACACCTACATGTCAGGATGGTTGGACAAATCTTCTGTTGTTGAAATCTTTTAATGTGTAAATAAAAAGTTTCTGAGCCACTATATAGCTGCAAACCCCTTTATCAAACTAGAAGGGACCGGTCTGGATGCTAAAGGGAGTGGGGTGTGAAGCGCCTCATTTGGATTTAAAGAGACAGCCTCAAAATGAATTGTTTTGAGACACACCTCAGAAAACGGTTGAAAAAGGGGCTTATGGAGTTACAATAATGCTGCGTTCACACTGAACGCGATTTCAGCTTCAAAATCGCATCCAACGCTTCAAGTTTGAAGCTTGTGCACTTTGAGGTCAGACGCAGGTCAGCTCTTGAAGCGCTGCACGGCAAGAGCCTCCCCACCCCTCCCTCCTCTGTCGGGCTCTGTTTAATGTCGGACGAGGAAGTGGCTTTGCATTATTTACAGAGAGCAAGAGCATGTCACGTTCATCAGATAATTAATTCATAATTAATTCACCAGATAATTCAGAGACATTCTGAGTTTCATCACCCAGGAGCTGCGGGAGAGGCTCACAGCTCGCTTTCAGGACTATTTTTGTCCCGAGTCCAGTCTGATGAGCCGCTGCCAAGCATTGGTGCAGATATCTTCTGTCAGGACACCGACTGCAGGCACTCGATTTCAGCTAAAGAGCTCCTCTCCATCTGTTTCAGGTTAGTGGACATCTGTCCCGTCGGGAAATATGTCGCTACGTCACACAGTGGAGTCTCTCTGATTGGTTGACGCGGCGTGTCAAGCTGCAAAAGTTCAGATTTTCTAACTTCAGCGAGTTGCGCATCAAGCACGTCAAACGCTCAGATCGTTCAAATCGTTCAAATCGCGCTGCTCTAATCACGCTTGAGGCGCCGCAGCACTTCCTGACGCTGATTGAAGCGCGCCCACCATAGACTTTGCATGTAAACCTGATGCTCCTGATGCTGAAATCGCGTTTGTTGTGAATGCACCATGAGGAGGAATTCAGACCAAAGCATTGAAGTTCCACTTTATATAGATCCCAAATGAATGATTTAAATGTAAAAAAAGAGGGATTTAAAAGCATGGTATGTCCCCTTTAATGTAAAAACTTCCGTCAAATATAATACAATGGTTAAATTACAACACACAAGTGTTTAACCATGATTCACTCGTTAGGAAAGACAGACAGCGTTTAGACAAAATGTTGTCTACATTAAGTTGAAGTGATTTTCTTTTAGAATGCTGCTAAAAAACTACATTGGAAGACAAAGTGCTCTGTCCAAATATACAGTTAAAATGAGCAATAGTAGACTTAAAATGTTCACAGCAGTGACACTGATGTAAGTTTACACAAAGGAACCTTGGGAGATTGAAATTACTGAAAAAACAGTGCTCACTTTGAAACGTTGGAAATAAAGAAATTCAAACTGACTGAAGTAATTGCTACCGTAAATTTGGTGATAGTGAAAGTGCTCATTAGTCAATATTTGGTTTTCTTGTTCAGATTAAATAAGCACTAACTTTTTTATTTGTGCTCTGGCACAATTTGCCAATTGTTTATGGGATTTTTTATTTTTTTTTTATCTGGGAAGTTTTCGTTTTTTTAAATACCAACATAAAAAGAAGGAATGGTCATAATCGGTCAAGCCAAGGCAAACTGAAGGTTTGGAATATGTTTTCTTTTACTCAGCTTTTCCCTTCATCCTAACCATTTTTTGTGTTGCTTTCAGAATGAGTTATTGCAGAAGAACACGCACCATATGTCAGGGTGAACAGAATTCTCACTTTAAAAACTTGGCCCTCCTGAACACAATTCTTTTGGAGATTTTATTTGCCATTTAGATTTACAACATTGTTTTTGTTCTCTTTATGTGTATGTTTTGCACATTTAAGAAAAAAAAGATGCAAGTCCTACCTTACTTGCTCAAAATGTATTCCCACATTGAATAAATTCCCACAAAACTAGAATGTGCTAACATCTGCATCCCCTCTCTGACTTTTTAAAAGCTGACTGATCAAATTCTCTTGATTGGGGGATGTGATAAATAAGCACTTCCTGTTCTCTGATCGCTTTCGCATTCAGTTTAAGAAAATAAATGGCAAATTCTCTCTAAACTCCCGTTAGAAGAGCATATTCTCTCTACTTATTCTGTTTTTACCATTGTCGTCAATGCAACCCTCCCTTTGTACCTGGAAATTTTAGAATTTTGCTCGATTGTAACAAAAAGGTCCTCATAAAGGCGGTTGCTCTTTCTTTATTAAAAGCTTCTCACAATATTAGATTGTTCTTTAGTTCATGGGTCATTAGCAAAGCCTCTAATTATCTCTTTTATGAAAAAACAAACATTGAATTTAATAATCATCAAAAGGCTCTGAATAATTGTGAGCACATATTGGCTCTTTCAGGTTCTGCTTATTAAACAAAGACTTGTTAAATTGCATAGCTTTCATGCCTTTGATGTTTTACCGTGTCTAACAGTATCCCTTTGTCTCGGCCTCAGGTAATCAAGGCTGGATTGGAGACCACTTGCAAATGCCACGGGGTCTCAGGCTCCTGCACGGTCCGGACCTGCTGGAGGCAGCTCCCGCCCTTCCACGAGATTGGCAAGCAGCTGAAGCAGCGCTACGAGACCTCCTTCAAGGTCGGCAGTTCCACCAATGAGGCCACGGGGGAGGCTGAGATCTCCACGGGCCGGAGCCAGCAGCAGCAGCAGCAGCAGCAGCCCCTGCCTGGGTCGAGCGCTCAAATCCCCCGCACTATGGACCTGCTCCACATCGAGGACTCGCCCAGCTTCTGTAAACCCAGCAAGTACTCACCTGGCACTGCGGGCCGCAAGTGCTACAAAGACAAAAACTGTGACGCTATCTGTTGTGGGCGGGGCCACAACACGCAGAGCAAAGAGGTGACCGGGCCCTGCCAGTGCCAGGTGCGCTGGTGCTGCTACGTGGAATGCAAGCAGTGCACGCAGAGAGAAGAAGTGTACACCTGCAAAGGGTAAAGCCATCACCCGTCAGACCCCCAGGATCAGTGAAGCATATCACGGATGGTTGTGTTGAAGACAACTGGTTGTTTTTGTTCTCATGCGATGCTCTGCGTCCGGCATCCGAACATTATGCAGAGAAAAATGAAGCAATAAGCACTTTGAGGGAGGGTTTGTAGTTTAGATTATCAGGGGTCCTGCAGAGTAACAACTGTTTTCAGACAACTGGGTCATCATCTCAAGCTTTTTATCACATTGTTGCCTTGCAGACATTTACTTTTTAAAAACTTCATTGGCTCCATTTTGCAAGATAAAAGAAATAAAATATATAAGGCAGTTGATGAAGACCCAACACAAGGACAGCAACACTAAGAGACTGATGCCTTTGGCTTTGCCCAAAGAGGAACGATGTGTGTGCGTGTGTCTGTATGTGTGTGTTTTTGTAAGCTTGTGAGAATGTAGAAGACAACAAGTCTGAGTTACAATTTTTTATAGCAACAAAAATTGGAAACTGCTTAAAAAAAGAGGACAGGGTGTAATACTTATTTTACACGCACATATTTAAACTCAAACACGTCATGTGTTTGCATATGTATGTACATAAAAACAGTTATATTGTAATATTAAACAAGCCACTTATCTAACTTTGTAAAAACAAACCACTAAACACACAAATGTTTTATAGTTTGTGTGCTATTGCTCATTTCTATGTCCTGATTTATTTTGACAAGGCCGTTTGGAAAGCAGCACACTTGTGTTCGATGTCTTGCCGTGGATAATTTATGGATCCTTTGGGACTACTCCTTTATATAAAGGAAAGCTCTTTTTTTTGTTTCACTATTAAAATGAAATATGAAGCTGTTATACATGCAATTACAAAAAACAACTAAACCAGTCAGTTTAGGCTTTTATTGGCCTTGAGCAAATCCGTGTTCAGGGAATAAACTCAACCACTATATCTTTTTTTAATTTCAATTGAAAATAAATAGTGCAAATATAAAGAAGATGTAAGCCAACGATATTGCAGCAGGTTATCAGTTGATCAGCAGACACTCTGCATGTTTCTCCAATCAGAATTTATGGAGCTCTGTGCAGCTTAGATTTTTGTTATGGCTTTTTTCTTCTTCTTCTTGTACTTTGAAGTTGTAAACTGTGGAGAACTGCAGGAATGTAACTCCCTACCATTTCATATCTATTTTTCCTCCACAGCTGCTGCCATTCATATGAGCCATATTGTGCAGCAGCAATCCAAACAGTGGGGGGGGGGGGGGGGGGGGCAACTGAGACTGAAATTTGACTTGACCTGTGTGCAGATTAGCTCAAGTGAATATCTAAGTTTACTCCTTGCAGCGAATGCAAGCATATTCTAAAGACTGACGTTCGTGCAATGAGCCACAAATTGACGTCTAAATGCAAAAGTGGAAAATTTGCTGCTGTCTTCTGTCTGAAGTCAGTGAAGCTGTTATTATGCATGAATTCATTTGCCTTTTTTACAGTTACAGCTAGCACAGTTAGAACAGAGCAGCGTGTGGTCCCAAACATACGAAGCACAGTGACAGAGACACTTTTAAAGAACATGTTGACATGGAAGTACGCTTACTAGCTTTAAGGTGAGTGCTTTTCTCAAAATGTCACAATTTTAAGATAAATGCCTGTGAGAAAACAATAACTATTCACGTATTATAATCATTTATTCAGACATATTCCAGATTGGTGTGAATTAACTACTGAGTGAGGGATCCAGCGTTGTATTATAGCACCCTTCACGCACTGAAGCCTGAAAGCCCTTTGACGTATTTAAAAATCTGTTTTTATGGACACCGTCCAGTACAGAATTATTTGATTTCCTGTTTATTATTTTTGTAAATAGCAAAGGTTTCTTCTCCTGTGGTATATATATAGAAAAAAAGGCACATGTTCAACTCTCACAAGCATTTGAATCACCCTGAAAAATAGTGCTTTCTGTCAAAAACAAGAGACTCCTAGTTGTTGCAGATTATCATCATCAATGCTGCACTTCAAATCATAAAAAAACATACAGTTGGAAAACTATCTAAATAATTGCAATTAAATCCTCATTCAGATGATAAAATGTTGCTTTAGGAAGTGATCTTCTTTCAGCTTATTTATCCTGATGAGCTGCATTCCAAACATTTTGACACAAGATGGTTTTGCCACGTAAAAACTGGTCAAAACATATACATAGAACATTGCACACTAGGTGGAAACCATAATAACTATGCAGAGACTCTGAACATAAATGCCTGCTCCCCACAACTTCTGTTTTTTTTTACTTTACACACTTCTTGACCCAAACATAATGAGTTTCTGTACTCTTGAATGAATTTGCAATGGGCACAGCAGGATTACCAAATACACACAGAATGCATTTGTATGTACTTTTACTTTGTACAAAACCCCATACATTTCTCATGATGCAGGAAAGCAATCAATATGTAAACTTAATGTCATCAATAGTCTCAAAAACACAACATTGCATCATTAGCTGTCGGTGAATTGTGTACAAAATTCTATTTTGTAGAAAAGGATGAAAGATAAATTATTTTAAATGTACTTGGAGCTTATATTGAGTGTAAATAAAGTAAAATATATATATATATATATTTTTTTTTTCCCCATCTGTATTTTATACTCTATTTTTCTTTTTGGTGTTTGTTCCTATTTGGGGTGGAGGCTTCAAAAAGCAATGTATAATATAAACTTGTATCATTTTATGTAAACAATTATCCAAGCACTTTTAAATCCTAACAATTTTTCAACCAACTCACTTCAAGTTGTTTTTGTAAATCACAATCATCCAAATGTTTGAAATGATGTAATCTGTATTTATAAGCATTTTGTGAAGACTCAACTCTGTAATTTGAGTTATCCTGATATAAAGTTTATCGCAACATAAAACTGATTTATACTCACCTATAAATCGCGCACCATGTACATTTTGTTAGGATTTATTTTGTGCTTGTAAAATGGAGATAAAAACACACAAACTATGTATTTTGTTTTGTGATATTACACCAGCAGAGTTTTGTTCATGTTCACCTATTCATGTCTTATGGGAACTCTAAATTATTTTCCTCTACCTCATGTGTATAGCTTGTAGGTATAAACAGATTGCGGATGACTGGTAAGAATGTATTTAAGTTATTTAACATCTTCGTATAACAAAGGCGAAAAAMCCCCGAAAATAATAAATGAATTTTTAAATTTTTTTTTCCTGTGATTTTTTCATTATTTGAGATGTATGGAGCATTTAAGTTCTGGGAAAAAAAGCTGAATAATAAATAACATTAGAAAAATAAAATTTCAAATGCAGAGCTGTTTAAATACATTGCTCAGGGAAACATCTTTACTGAAAGTCTAAAATTCATTCTGCAAATATTGCCATTACATTTAAAATTTTGTTTAATTTTAAATGAACTAATCTCTGGCCCAAAAATGGTCCACAAGCCACAAGATTTTTTTCTTCAACCCCAATTCCAATGAAGTTGGGACATTGTGTAAAACATAAACAAAAACAAACAAACAAAAATAAAAAAAACAAACAATGATTTGCAAATCATTTGAAAACCATATTTAATTTATTTCACTACAAAGTCTAGAAATATTTAATGAGCAACACATTCCAAAAAATAAAAAAAAATAATAAAAAAATAAAAGCACGGACAGGGGCAACAAAAGACTGGGACAGTTAAGGAATGCTCTAAAAACACCTGTTTGGAGCCTTCCACAGGTGAACAGKTTAATTGGAAACAGATGAGTGTCGTTATTGGCTATAAAAGGAGCATCTCTGAAAGACTCGGTCGTTCAGAAGCAAGGAGGAGGTGACGTTCACCACTTTGTAAACAACTGGACAAGCCAATAGTAAAACAGTTTGAGAACAAAACATAACAGGAAGTGGCCATTCATAAATGACATCGCAAAGTAAAAAAACGAAGAACTTTGCGAGTTCGGAGATTGAAGTCCTGCTCTCAGAGATCCAGAAAAAAAATTGTCTTTTTTAGCAGCGTCAGACCTGCTAAAGCCGAGGAATGAAATGAYGACTGCTGTTAATGTTGTGTCTCCTGCGGGTCGAACACAGTCACAGAAATGCAAATCTAAATCATTTTCATCTCTCTCTCTTTTTTTTTTTTATTGATGGCCTCCCTTCTCCCCCTTTAGCCATCCTCTCCACACCATTATTATGTTTTTTTTTTTTTTTAATTTTCATCTCTCTCTCTCTAGTCCTCCGGTTTTTCTTTGGTCAAATATTTTTAATTTAAGTGTTAACAACTGTGTTGGATAGTTTTCATTTATTCAGAAGAAGAGCAGTCGCGCACCGCTACCCCACCACCCCCGCCTGACCGTCTCCCCCCTCCAGACCGTCGCAAGTGTCAAGTTATGAAAAAAAAAATCATTTTAAACTGTCTCCAGACTTTTATCAATGCATAATTTAAGTTGTTTTTTAGTTTGAGATCTTCTTATTAATTTTGCAGTGTTATACAACAGCATTAAAAGCCAATTTAATTTATTCTAACTAATTTATGCTGTTAGTTACATTTAAAATCTAATTCCAATTCAAACAGAATAACAGAATTTTTGTTGTTGAGTTTAAATGATCAGTTTGAACTTTAAAAAATCAGAGATTTTGTAGACAATTTATTAATGAACAAATCTTTTAAAAATGTTTAAAGCGGCAGCAGTAATTCAGCAAATGTCTGCCAGAATCCTACCTGCCAATCCATTTTTATTTACTGAGACCTTTATCCCCAACGGTTCTATTCCAAGATTTATCTTTCTGATATTTATGGCAACACATTTTAAGGGCAAAGGGAGTGACTAAAAAGTCACTATCTCAAATCTCTGCTGGGAAAAATGTCTGAGAACATTATTTTCTAGAAAAACAGAGTAAATCAAAATGCATCATCTGCGACTTAACAAGACAGCTGTTTACAGGAATCGGATATAGACTTTGTTGGGTCTTTGCACTCATTCTCACTTTAATTTGACTTTTTATTTTGCTATAGTATAAAGTGATTCTCAAAATAAACGTCATGTTAAATTGTTACCCAATACAGAATTTTTTATGTCAGTGTCAAATCAAGTCAGCAAGATCAAATATTCTGGATTTATAGCTTTCAGACACGCAAAGTTTCAACAAACTGTTTCCGCCTCAGCACACGAGGATTAGAAGATTTCAGCGTTTTCTCTTTCAGCAGTCGTGCAAATATCTTGAGGCCTCATCATGAAAGCCTTAAAGCTCCATTAATCCAAAACAAAATGGGATTTGTTATTTTAGACTGTGAATGGCAGCTTCCCATCCAGTTAGAAAGCAAAACCCAGTTATGAGTCTATCTGTTCTAATACCTATCACACCAGTGGAAAAGCCTACATGAAATACTCAACACGTGTGTAAATTAGAAGTGCATGAGCAGCACCCTGTTGATGTTAGCTTTGAGTCTACTGGGTCCTCGCATGCTGTTCCAGGAGAAACTAAAGTGGTTTAATGTTCCTCCTTCTAACATCCTGCTCTGTACCAGCCTCTGATATGAGCTGCAGGTCTGAGGTGGAACGTAATCTGATAACACTTTGGAAGCTTCTTCCATGAAGAAAGCAGATGATGTTGGACCATAGACTGCCCACCTTGTCCAGACTGTTTCTTCTTGCTGCCATCCTCCTTGTATGTAGAGTTGTGACAATCAGAAACATGTGAAATACTGTAAAACATGAACAGCTGATTTTTCATACTCAGACTCGCACATGACAAAAAAAAAAAAAATCGTATAACAACTTTGGTCTTACAAACACTCAAACACATTTCACTTACGAACATTCAGATGTCAGCCGGGAAATCTCATGAGACCTCTCGAGATAAAACGTGAGTTCAGAGTAAATAAACATGGCCGATGAGGTAGACGTAGTGGCGAGCATTTGTGGACTATTTTTAACAGAGAAAAAACGGGAAAAAAAAAGACATATCCAACATGCACCAGTCTTTCTGGTCCACCTGTTATTGTTTTGTCTTCTGTATTTTAGATTACCCTCAATGTTTCTGTCCCTTTCTGACCGACTACAGAGCCTTTAGATTGTYGAAAGGGCAAAATCAGGCCAAAAATCAGCATCTTGCCATTTGATCATGAAAAGTGGCAAAGGGTTTGGTAATCCATTGCTTCAATGAGTAGGATGCATGTATATATTAGGATGAAAAAAGAGGTTTTGTGTTTTGTTGCATTGAAAAACTCAATCTAAAATAAATTTGTATGGTAATGTCCACAGTTTAAATCCTCTGAGCTGTTACTTTTCGCTCCTCAAAAACAAGTTTCTGAAATGTTTGTACCTGATGCTACAGGTCAGTGTTCATTTTTTTCCCCAGTGTTTAGGAAAAAGCAAGTTCCTCTTTGGAAAATGTGATAGATGTCGTAAGCGCGCGCTCCTTCCTTTGCCTATCTCCTGCATCCCTGCCCATAAAATGACCCTGTTTTAAAGTTGTTTTTGATGGTTCTTAAATACTTGTCAAAGCTTGTAACTCAGCTTAAAAACAAGTAGRAGTAAAGGAAAGCACTTTTTTTTATTAAAGAATGCTGCTAAATTCATTGGACGTAACTGGCTCTTTTAAAATTAACAGGTATTCTCAGAACAAAAGGGTTCTTCCAGCTGTTTGTGATACACTTTGCACTCAAACTTAAGGTGATAGAAACATTAATATTCATTCAGGATAAATCAGAAAACAAGATGTTTAAATCATTAAACACCATGAGCTTTGCACTGTAATATTTCTCATATGTGTTTCATGACACCATCCACTGTGGAAACTATCAGGGCTTTTCCTCTGGCCTATCACTCCATACTCTTGGTCCCTGCACATTTTCCATGTGACTTCAGGGACTCAGACTCATCGAGCATGACTGAGGCCTGTCTGCAGAGCGAGATGGATAATGATGATAACTGACTCGGGAGGTTTTCAGCACTTGCTCACAATCATAAAAATGTCAGCCCAACATGACAAAGCTCGTTTTTTAAAACCCTCCTCTTGTGTTTTAACATGCTGCTCTTCTGCTCCAGTAAAAAAAACGAATAAAACAATATGGCTCATAAATTGTGCAAACTCTCGAGTGCAGCTGAGTTAAAACATTCTCCTTCTGGAAAAATAGAATAATAGATAAACAAACTGTCAAATAAATAACATCGGACATGTGTTTTGTTCATAGGCACACATAGTTGAAGAGCGATGAAAGCCCCAGAGATCCCATAGCAGTGTTTCTTATGGTGTGGGAGATGGGATAAATGTAGTTCTGCATAAACGCCTGCTTTTTTTATCTACGTATCTGCGCTTGCAATTTCACCAGAAGTATTGGATCACCTGCCAGGAGAGGTGCAGGGTTAGAAATATTTTATTCTAGAGGAAATGCCTTCTAATACTCAATTATTCACCAAAATCACAGAGGGGATGGATGCTCTAAGTTGTTTAACAGAAAGAATTTTCAGAGAAAACAGTTCATCATTTATGTTATCTGAGACAAGAGAGTGTTCTGATGGATCACCAATGGCAGTAGGACATATGCAATGGACATATTCCCCTCAGCCCATCAATTTTCCAAGACAGAAAGGACTTTGGAGATCACTCTGTGCACATTCAGTGCAATAACTACACAACAAAAAATGTCAAGAGTAAAACAGCATTTTACAATAACAAAGTTTACAGCCACCAGGCCACCACCTGTTTCCTGCATCAAAATGTGCATGAAATATTGACAAAACGTACAAGTTGTGGGTCATTTTTTCCCCCCTAAATGTTAATTTTGTCTGAGCCCATAAGGGAAAGTTGTACAACAGTGAGTGAAAAGAGGAACTGGAAGTTTCTATCAGCAGCTGTGCTGACCTACTACCAGTCATTTGTGTCTGTGTGTGGGGTGATGAGTGGGAACTTCAGTTGTAGCTGTGATGACTGTGTGTGGGTGTGTGTTGCCCGGGAGGAGCGTTACAATGGTGAGCTGATGAAAGCGTGGGGGTTCACAGAGATGGTCCATGAAGCTGCTGTCCAGCTCATGCTTCAGTTGGGCAGTAAAGATTCCCCAGCTGTCCCAAGGATTATCCTGTGTGCTTATGTGATCAGGATACACGGCACCGAGGCTCGACCAGGCGCCTCTGACTCGGAGAATGTATGACATGAACTGGGAGGAAAAAGGATGGATGGGAAATGCTATGGGGGCCAGGAACACCCACGAAAAAGCGT